CTGCAAGTCAACAGAGAAAAGTTATGTTGATTCTGATTGTTTGAGACCACTTTTTTTACTCAGTACTGGAAACAATATCCCAGAGCATAGTTTTAAGCCCAGTAGCATTCCAGTGAGTCCTTTTCCACTGAAAGGGGAGTCTCCATCTGTCTGGAGTTCTGGACTAGCTAGAAGACCATTTGACTAATTGTCCAGAGCTATGAGAAAAGCTTCCTATGGGCCACACTATTGCAAAGTGGCAGGCTAGACATCCTTAGGGGTAACAGCTCCATCATTCTATAAGGCGACATGTTAGCTTACAGCTGTGGAAAGCTACAACACCATGTATTTGCCCCTCTCCTACCCATGAGGCTGTGTTCTTCTGACAGGTAAGCTATAGTCTAGAGGCAAAAGCCTAACTGGAGCCACAAGTCTTTCACAGCTGCATATACCAAAGCTTCACTCAAGGGGGAGCATAGAGGTGATTCTGCTTGTGATGTGTAGATGTTTTGCTCACAATGCAGCTGCCCTTGCTATCTTTGGCAAAAGGAAGCAGACTATCATTCAAAGCAACATGGAGGATGTTTTTTTATCTTCCTTGACTTGCTTGTGTTTTCACAAAAAAGCTTTAACTCCCTCCAGGGCACTGAGAGCAGATCGGACAGCTTTTAAAAAAAACATGAGCAGATTTATTGATATATGCATTTCCTTTTTAACTTACAAGTAGAGTCTCACATTAATTTTCAATCTTATGTTAACATTAATAAAACATTTAAAAGGTTATATAATAAAACCCCAAAGTTTCAGATGTACAAAGTAAGAGATAGGGATTAGACAGTAAGTGCTTTCTGTTTCTATGAAAACGTTGTAGTGCCAGCCTTCATCCCATACCATAGCTCAGCATTTCAACAGCCTATAACAGGTGCAGCCACAGATCTACCGCTTGGTATTGATCCAGTGGTATCTATCAACACGCGGTCCTGTGAAAGCAGCTGTTGGCCTGTAGACTTTGTAACCCCTGTGCTGGTCATAGTATGAGCCATCAGTCATATAGGTCTTCCTATGAAGATATTGAGACCAGGGCTGTATGGGTGCCTTGCAGTAGTCACTGAACTAAACAGCAAGAAATGAGATAGTGTTAAAATGTGTTTGGGAAAGAGGGGAGATTAGTCTGGCCATGAGTTAAGTCTATTGCATTCTTTCATGAGGGAACCTAGAGGGCAGATGCTAGCTCTTACTGAAAGCCACATACCCATTACCACCTGTTTACCTGGTAGACACTGTTGGGATTGCTGACAGTAGGGATAGCTTTCGGCTCCTTGTTGAAGCTCTCCTCATCTGAAGAAATGCCAGAATGATAGTCTAGTGCTGCTCTGTCAACAGCATAGCTGATCTGCTGAGGAAGCTCTGGGTTCTCCTCTCCTTCAAAATGGGCAATTGTGAAAGGCCGGTTCTTCTCACCATATCTGAAAGTGACTGTATTTGTATAATGCAGCTCTGCACTAGCAGTATAGACTTTGTTAGTAGTCAGCTGACACTAGTAAGTAAGTACACCCTCAGACACTAAGACTCTAGTAAGGCTTGGAGTTGATCAAGTTTGTACAGGGCACTTGACATGTTCATCACAGCTTCTCAACTCACCTGCAACACACCTCAAATGGATCAACCCATAGTGTCATCTCTTTTGGCAAACCAAGTTTATTGAAGTCCACATTACTCTCCACACAAGCTTGCTCCAGCAGTGGATCTCTTGTCTGATGTTTGTTTATCCTTATACACCTAGGTAAGAACAAAGTGTAGGTGGATTTAAGATTTCACTGCAACTTTGCAAGTTCTGCTCCCACAGAAGTACACTTAAGTTCACTATTTATTTTCTCAACACATTTAGCCTGTTGATGCAAGTTCTTACTTACAGCCCCAACCAGCAAGTTAGCCTAACAAGCTGATTTATAAACCCAAACAAGGTTTTGTTTGTTTTAAACACATAATGCAGCAACTCACTTAACCAGTAATTTAAGAGAATTAAAAGCAGTTACAACAATTCCACAAGTCCTTTAAAGACAACTTGAACTCTGTATCAAGAAGTCAGAGAGCTATTCAAGACACTATGCATTTTGTCTTAAGATTTTCACCTCAGCTCTCTAGTCATACCTACACAGGCACTCACTGTGAAACCACTTTCAAAATAGGTGCATCTTTACTAGTTAATAACACTTCTTCCCTTAAGCTTAAGGGATAGCTAAGTGGTGTCACATATTTCCAACTTAAGGGCTCCAGGCACTGAAAGGGTACTCACTGCATCTTGAATGTCATGCAAATGCTCCATTCCCCCTCCCCTTCTACTAAGGGTCCTCTTACCTGAAGGCTTGTCCTCTGGATGGATTGTCCAAATACCAGTGATTCTTATACTTTTCAAACAGTATTGTTGTCAGCTTTGCTGCAAATTTCTCCATTTTATGCTTGCTCAACTTGTCTTCCCTTTTCACTAGCCTTGTGATGAAGAAGACTGTGGCAGCAATTTCATCTTTCATTTTAAATTGAAGTGCACAAGGTGCTTAGCTGTTGGATAGTCATCAGTAGGGATGAGACACTACACTAGAGATATTTAACATTAAGGTACTATCAAGTTCCAAGGAGAGATATTGCAAAACCTGCATAAGCCACAACAGATACAGCCTAGATAAGCCCAATTGCCAAATAACTGATAAATTTAGTTCTGCATAGTGAAACCAATTTAATGCATTATTAGAAGGCACTCACACTAAGCAAGTTAGAGTGCAAAAAAAGAGTTTAAAAGATAGTACTGCTTATTATATATCACATATTACAGTCAACAACCAGAAGTTCTTACAATTACATAGTTTTTTATATAATGATAGACCACAAACATTACCTTCTCAGACCAGAGTTGTTGAAAACCTGAGATATGCTTTATAAAGAGCTTCAAATAGTCACCAAGGAAACAGATCTAACATTACATGAACCTATAGCACTTATACAGGGAGGAAAAAACAACACCCAAATCCTCCCTCACTCTTCCTCTAGTATAGCTTGCTTAGGGTTTATATAGAACAGGAAATCATGTGGCTCTGAGGAATGTAACAATATTCAGGTGTGCACCATTAGACTAACCAACATTGCTGGTTTCAAAGCTATTTCCAATCTACTTGGTTTTATTCTAATATCAGCTCCTTCTTTTAGGGTATATTTAATTGATTCAGTACTGTATTCTGTTGTGTCCATCAGTCTATCTCATAAACCTCTGTGAAATCTTTAAGTGAAATATTCACCATGAGAAAAATAGTACCAGGCTTATTAATTAATTAAAATTGCACTTGACTGCTTCTAGCAGACTTTACACAACACAGTTACTTTCCCTATGAAGCCCTCACATTTGGTATTCTTCATTTTGAGAATTGCACGACTCTGTATTTATCATAACATTAATCTTCCTAGTGATCTATATAAATGTGCACATTATTAGTATAGCTTTTTCTTATTTTTGAGGCATTTCATACAGAGTGTGAATGGCTCTGTTAAAGAGTTCATACACAAGCAGTTTCTCAAATGTGAGTGCTTCATTGTTTAAAACTTCAGGCAATAATTAGCTGGGGCACATTCAGAGAATAGCTGATGTGTTCTTTTTTCCCTTTGCTGTCTCAGGAAGTTGTGCCTCCAATATCAGATATCAGGAACTGTCAAGACAAAAGAACAAATCAAGGTAAAAAGACCTGAGTATTTAAACTGGCTCTTAATTTGACTGTAGATGTTGCAGCCAAGCAATTCAAGTGCTTACATTTCAGTCTTGTGAATAGATTGTGATACAAGACAGGGGATAAGAAAAATAAAGCATGAAGGCACAAATTTACAGAAGTACACATCTTTGCAGAAGTGTACCCTAAACCATGAATTTCTGGCTATTTCTGGATTTCTTTTCTCCTCCACTCACACAGTTATTTCCTTGCTCTTTACAGTTTCTTTCTGCATCACAAAAAAAGACTTACCAAGACATTTAATAGAAACTCTGGTTTTAAGGAATGAGTAATAAATTACAAAAAAAAAGATGTCTTCTCTTTCTTTTTCTCACATATCAAAATACTTCCTTAACGAATGGGGACCTTTCAATAACCACTCAAATGAAAGAGAGATCAAAGTCTGAGACAGATACTGAATCTTCAGAAAACGCATTTAGCAGTGCCAGGAGTTGAGTTTTAATACAGTACACCAGTGTTTTGACCACAAGAGTGCTCTGCGCTGCACTTGGTTGCTTGTGATGACACATAAGGATTTTGTTGCATACACAAGCCATGAGTCATTTCTTCCCTTTCACATATAGCATAAGAGGGCAATGGTAGCCTGTTCTATGCTTTTTGGAGAATGATGTAGGACAACAGGAAACCACTGCTATGCATTGCCGGGAAGAATTTCCACACAACATTTTTTAGGAGTTGGTTAGCCTCTTTCCATGCAGCCTGTGAAGATTTTTACTCCCTGCTGACTGTCTGCATCTGGCACATCAAAATTAGCTCTGGGCAACAGATGAGCATTCTTGAACAGGCAAACTAGATTTTCATGCCTGATGCCTGAATTCTGTTCTAGAGATTACACTTGCTTTAAAAATGTCAGGCAATTGATGGGTCATTTTCTGATGTGAATGGATTCCCTTGTAAATACTGAAGACCATCTTTACAGCTACATCAGTTTTTCTTTGTTTTTAAACATCTGTTCCATGGTGACATGTCAAAAGAACAAAGAAAAGTTCTCAAGTGACTTGAAACTTTTGATCACATAGATTTTGCTACAGTGTGTAGCTGAACTGCATAAGAAGTGGGCGTTATAAAAAATGAGGCTTTGTTTCTCATTTTAAGAGTGAATCCATCAGTGAGGGGGGTTAGACTAACAGATACAGATAGATACAAATCTCCTATAAGTAGGTCTTCACAGACTCATTCTTGACTCACTGTATGCCTTATGGTGGGTTGTCAGCTCTCTGAACAGCACTGGAACAATCTTCAATACTGAGAGGCAATGTCTTGTAACATTCTAACCCTGCAGGATTTACTCAAAGCTCTGCCAGAGCTATACGTTTCTGAAAAGCATTCCAGCATTCTCATCTAGCCACCCCTGAGGTCCCCACATATTATATCCCCAAGAGATGACACTTGCTTCATGAAGTATCTTAAATGTCTAAGAATTTTCTACTGGAGTTAGTTATAAACAAGTATCCCAAGCCTTTTCAGAGGAAAAAGCTAGGATACATGCAAAGTATGAGGCAAATGCAATGAACTGATCCCTTTTCTAGTGTCTTTACTTCTAAGAAAATGCAGCTGGGAGCAACTACCACAGATCCGGGGTTTTTTAACTCTGCTGACAAAATCGGTGTCCAGGAAAATATCAAATGAGAGCAAGATCTGCCACCTAAAAATGATGGATAATGCACATATTTATAGTTTTTGAAGTTCTTCTCAATAACAGTTTACTCCACTCCGGGTTTCATGCACAATCACAGACATACAGATTATGAGTCCTCTAGGGATGATGCTGTCTTCCTTGCCAAAGCTTAGGAAGTTGCTATTTAGTCTGGTTTCTTTGCCTTCATGTCATTTTTTCACAATATCATATTATAATCTAATAAAAGATATGACTTCTTCCTATAAATCTTGTTTTCCTTTTATTCTTGAACTATCAAGGCTAAAATAACATTCCCACTGCAAAACAGCAGCAGGCATCATAGGGAATCCATCCCCTGCCCTAGAGTCCATAATTTGATCATAGTTTCCATGTGGGATCTGACCCTGACACAGTTCAGTCTCAGAAATTATCCAGTTACTGTCTTTTCCTCAATAAATACCAAGCTGGTTTGGATCATTGGGACACATCAGTTGACGGGACTTTGAACTGCTTCCTGCCTTCCTACTTTCTCCAACTTGTCCAGGCAGGCCCTGTGAGTTAGGAAATTCTGTGACAAAAGAGTGAAGTGACTAGATTCCACAAAGGACAATAAAAGAGAAGTCCAAATCCCTACAACACCTCCTTTTGTTGAGTTCCCATAGTTAACATATAAATTGCAAGTCAACAGTAAACAAACTCTTCACCTGAGAAACCAGATTGAAGCAGTGCAATCAGTCATGCAGTAAGGTGTTATTTCTTGGATGTTAGGAGGCAAAACCCAGGCCAAACTGCACACATTTATAACAACAAACACAGGAAAATTTAAGCAAAGTTTTTGGCAATTCATCTAGTTGGCTGTAATTATTAAGGCTGTCATTGATACAGAAGTAACATTCTGAGAAATTTTAAACTTGGTATTTTTAATATCATGCAGGAGTTCAAAAGTATTTCTGTTAATGGCACAGACACCAGAAGAGCAGAGTGTATTTCTGGCTACCCATTTCAGTGACAAGAAAAACTGGCTCTTTTAATTAGGTAGGTTCATTGAACTCAAATCGTTCATAATGCTGTCAGTGTCACTGACTTGAAGAAAACGTAGCCCTGGGTACTCTATTTGGATAATAAGCAGCTAAGAAACAAAATGTCAAAACCAAAATTTGAACAGTCCATCCAAATGTGAGATCCGTTAAGTAACAGTCAACAAACTGTGCTCCCACTCATTCCCAGTTGCATCCCAGCAGATTTTGCAAAAAACATGATGAATAGCCAAATGTTCTGACTGACGTGATGCATGAGATAAATGAGTAGACATTTGTGCCTTTTGTTAAATGGTGCTGTTGTTTTTTAATCCTTATTAGGAAGAGAAAAAACCCAAACCACTAAAAAACACCACATTACGGTGCCTGGACATTCATGGGACTGATCCAGAGCTCACTGAAATCAATGGAAATCTGTCCAAGGACTTCAGTGGGATTCAGATCAGGCCCCTAACTCAGCACTTGCATTCTTAGCCAGATTAAATTATGGGTCTCCTGGGTCACCAGGCAAGCCT